TTTAATATATAATAAATATAAATAAATTAAATATGTATATTTATACATACAGCACTTTTCCATGCAGATGTGATAGATTATATTGCGTGCACTTTCTTTACTCTTGCTTTGATAGTATCATTCGTATTTGAAATGGCACTAGGTTTTCAGCTCTTCTATCACCTTATTTACGGCTCAGCCTGGAGCTCTGTGTGCTTGTGTGTGTGTATGTGTGTACCTGTAATCTAGAAAGGTACAAAGTAGAGAGTTGAGGAATGTCAAATATGTGAGGCACCCCGAGTGATCTCAGATCGACACAGTGGCCCAAAGTGAATTGGATGTCGACGTTGCAAACTGGGGCAAGCTCGCCTTGACTGACCAAATTTGTCAGGTGCTATTAGCTGCAGTACAAAGTAAAAAGATATGCTTAAGCAGACCACCGACTCTAGATCAACAACGCCTCTGAGATGAGGTCACTATGGAATTTGTGAAAATCTATGATGTGTCAGGTTACGTAGCATATTTGTTGAAAATATGTCTGGACAAATTTGTTGTAAGATTATTCTGTTTCTTACAACGATTCACTAACACACACTAACCTGAAAAGTGTCTAGACTAGTTGCATTTAACATTGAAAAATGTAGTCACGATGGGTTAGGTATGGTCATGGAGGTCTCATATTTGAAGTTGTTTACTGATACCATCGAAAGATGCGCATCACATTCAATCTACTCTTGGTCTCACCAGCAGCCCAAACGGGACTTGAACTTGGATGAGTTAGTGCATATTTTCGACTTGTTATGAGGCCTGAAAGTTCTCTAATAAAAACTGAAGTGATCGTAGAATTCTCCGCAATGAACTAATAAGAAGGCTCCTCAATGTCATTGGTGAAGCTCAGGTGAAGTCAAAACTTTACGCCAGTCCTGATTAGGAGAGCCTCTTGGGAGACAAGGCATAACAAACTTATATTTGGCGTGTTCATCCTAGTTCGTTTAAGGTGATGAAGGACTGGTGATTCGATCCCGCCAGGTCTCATCAGCACCCTCAGCACACACTGCAGCCGACTCCAGCCTGGATGAGTATACCTTTTTGGAGTCAAGGGAATGTTAAATGCAATGGAAATATAGGGTATACTGATATGATTGTGGGAAAATGCATTTGCCAGTCCTTAATCACCTCAAACGAAATAGGGGCAGCACATCTTATATGTCTATTCTATTCTATTCTATTCTATTCTATTCTATTCTATTCTATTCTATTCTATTCTATTCTATTCT